ATGCATTGAACAACGAACATTTTTTTCCGAGAAATTTCTAATAGTGTAAGAAGATAGTCTGAAATATTTTACCTCTTCGGGTTTCAAAAACACTATACTCTCCTCTGGATCATAACCTCGCAATTTTACATGGCTTTGCACTGCATACTAAAAATAAAATATAGAAAAAATTAGAAAAAATATTTCAGAAAACGTATCTATAAATTTAAAAAACTTAAACATTGATTTAAATGTATTCATAGCCAATAACTCATTTCTCTTTTTTAAAATCGCTTGATTCCATCTTTATCTGTGTATCTTGATTCTTTTTCAGTTAACTTTCTTAAATTAGCTTAAAAAGTAATATTTGGATGGTATTAATTGCTGTTGAATTTGCTTTAAAGTTTGTGTGAAAATATGTATTTTTAGAAATTTTGAAGTGATCTAAACGATAATGTCGTTCAAATTAATAAATCTTAATATAATGATATGTTAAACTAGATAATCGTACTTGATCATACAATACTATGAATAGAAATATAGTTCACTTTAATACTTTGTTAGGGTTTCACCATATTATGGTTCAAGGTACCAAGAGTATGGTTAAACATTGAACCGATTCTTCTAAAAGTCAACTGGATGTCTTTATTTTGTGGATCAGAGCTTTTTTCTTCATTTAATATTTTAATTGACGTAATTTTTTTAAAATAATTCAAAGCAATATAAAGCGTTTGAAAATAAGTCTCCTGTAACTGGAGAAAAACGGAAATAAAATCGGTTAAGCAAAGCACAGGGGAAAAAATAAAATAAAATTCAATTTAGAAGAAGTGTTTCAAACATTTGAAAATCATTTGTTATTTACCAATCATCACACATCATATAAAATATGAGATTATCTATTAATATAGAATGAATGAATTGGAATAAATTATGAAACTTACCAAATCAGAATGAAATCCTCCTTCCACCATTAAAATTTTATAACGATTTTCACTTGGTCTGTAGAATGAAGCCTATTGAAAAAAAAAATATTTTGGGATATTTTCGCCAACAATCCATTACATAATATTGTTTTAATCGTTAAAATTTTAAAATATAAAAGCTTTCGAAAAAATTCTGTTTTTAAGCTGTTAAAAAGAGATGTGACCGCCAGGCTCAGAACGATCCTGAATTAATGCTCCTTATCTGAAAGAAGTCCTCAGAATCGGGCTCATCAATAAAGCTTTCATACACTTTTTTAGTATATTCAAACTAAATAAATATAGGAAAATCCGTTTAGTTCAGTTATTAAGCATAAAAAATGTAAAATATTTTCAAGTGCAAAAATCAAAAAGTAATAAATCTGTGGGTAAGCAATATCAATAACGCATTTCATTTGGCCTTTCTCTTGAGATGTTTAGGACTTAAAACGAAGAAATAAAAAGTAATCAGAAGAGTAGCTAGGTTTGTAAGAGGGAGAAGCGTAGTTTTTTAATTTGTTTTAATTATAATAAAATAATTATTTTATTCAAACTTTAAGCATATGCCACAATAAGCATATTACAATACGCATAGAGATTTTCAAGAGAATAAGTGGTTCGTGGTCAGGTTTTCCAGGATCTTCGAAACCTTTCGCTTGTTTCATGAAAATAGTTTCATCAAGATTTATATTTACACAAGTAGCCGACCGGCCTGTGTAGGGGTTAAGGAACTGCCCTTGCATCAGAAAGGTTCTGGGTTCGAATTCCGCGCTAGGCATGAATATTCTTTCCTTCTCTGTACTATCTGTCCTTATTGTGGGAGCAACGTTGGCCCACCTAATATGGTGCCCCTGAAAGAGTGGTCAACAAGTCTGCTCATCAGATGCCTGTATGACCTATTTCATTCTCCGGGTGGGCATTGGAAAAAAAATATTTACTTAAGCCAAGACGTCACTTTTCTAAAATTGTAAATCATTTCTTGCACTATGAGCAATAATAGTTCGAACAGAGCTTGGTCTTACAACAGAGGTAAATGCATCGTTGATGTCCTCACCTGGAATATGAGAAAATCCACGAGCAACTAGTCGATATTTTCTTTTATTTATCGTTCCGTCAGAATCAAATTTAGTCTCTAAGATCCAACGACAGTCAATCACTTTCATGCGTTAAGGCCTTTTAGTTAAAATCCATGCTCTGGTTTTAATAAGAACTTCATATATATTCTTTTACAAACCTTCCGCAATGTCCGATTTTTATTTTCTAATGTCTTCCAGCTGTTCTTCTAAGCGTTTCTTTACTTTCTGTAGATGAATTGTCGAAATCCTCTTCGATTTGTACGTTTTCATTATTTATGGAAAAAAGAATCTAGCTGAGATGATTCATTTTCCGAAGTTTCGTTTTCACTATCAGATTAGAAGGAAATGAGACAGCAGTGATACTCAAATGCTTTTATTTTTTCTTCAGTTTCCTTCTCTGGTAGAAAAAATGCTAATATACTTCCTCGTAGTTCCGTAGACAGAAAATTTATTCGAATTTGTGAATGAATTCAACGTTTCGGCTTTTAATAATTTGCTTTCTTTCTGTATTCCATAAACGGTAAGCTTTCGACTCAGCACTATATTCTATGAAAATACATACATTTAATCTGATATCAAATTTACTTTTTTGGGGTCTCCAATTTAAAGTGAAAGCTTTTTCACCGAAAGAGCGATAAAGTAACGCTTGACTTTCTGTCAAAAATCATTTCATAATGAGTTTTATATTCTTTCAAGCTTCGAGGCGGACATCTGCTTGTCGTTGTATTAATTGCTTCTTCTGGTTCTGATTGATTCAAAATGGATTGGGATAGTTATGATTGCATACGTAAACACCTACCGATATTAATTAAACTTAAAATTCATGCATTGAACAACTCTGTTATGCACAGGAGCGTTCCCGGATAATTCCAGTATTTTCAAAAAAATTTATTAAATTCATTTCCCAGATATTCAAGTCCGTTGCCTGTACAATAAATTTATTTTAGAATTAAGTCTATTATTGGGACAAATTTTAAGGAGAGGTAGGGGGCATCACAGGGATTCAGAATCACCTATTAACCCCTGGTCGGAAACGTATAGTATGACAGGTAAAAGAAACAGAGAGTCACACGACTGACGTCATCTGAAATATTTATTAACCAAAGATATCACATATGCTGTGATAGATGATGCGTCAAAATATCACGAAAGATGTTCAAAGTTTCCACCATTTCTAGCGATGAACGCGTTACACCGATTCACGGATTGGCGATTCGGTGGTCCGCTTCATCTCTCCGAGGGCATCTTTCGCGATACAATCTTTCTGCTGCTCGATATATTTCTGCTGCTGCAATATTTCTCTAACTCAATCAATATAACATGTGCATATCTATATTAGCTAGCTCGGTATTCGCAAAACGTTGCATACTCCTCTGCGGGGGTTTACAGCTCAAATAACTGCTGCAATGCAAGTCTGTTTCCACCAATGCTTATGTGAAAACACCGAACGGCGAAGACGTTTCCGGTCATGGGTTGCCATGCAAATTTGAATTACTGTGATGACCCCACAACCTCCGCTTAAAGTTCGTCCCAATAACCCTGGGAGAACCGTGGTGGCTTAGGGAAATAGAGCACTCGCCTCCTAATAAGGTGCACCGTTTTCGAATCCCAGAGATGGTTGGTTGATTCGAATTCCGCACCCGGCTCGCATCAACCACGGTGCTGATGTGAAATATACTCAGTGGTAGACGGATCATGTATTAGAGTCCTCTTGCCGTCAGGCTAATCGTGGAAGGTTTTCGTGACTTTGTGTGTCAAATGCGGGTCAGTTCCATTAAAAAGGCAAATTTCTCTCAATACTTGATCCAGGAGTTTCCTTGTCTTCTAGATCGGGCTCAAAATTGCAAGGCTACAGAGTTGAACATTGGCAGTCGTAAATCCTAAAGTTGGTCAGCTGTTCAACGGCGGTTATAAATAATCCTGGGATATCGTGTTTATGCTTATTTTAAGTAAAAAATCTCGTGATTTTACATTGCTTTGAATTCCATGATGATAAATTTTAAATAACAGTGGTGAGTTCCAAATTGAGTCGAGCCCTTATCCTTTCATTAGGAAACCTCTTTTAATTGCTTCGAATGAACGTTGTCTTTCAGACTAATGTGGTTTTGGCTGAATCATGTCTTCTTTTTCGGAATCACAGCTCATTTCATAACCTTGATTGTTGTCTATTACGCCGTTGAAGATTTCTTCATCTCTATAGGATAAAAAACAGTTAATTTTCCCACCATTTCTTAAAAGCTGGTGAGGTTTCATCAGCTGTTATTCTCACACTCTCTTCTAATGTTTCAAAAAATTCAAAAACTCCAACCTTCAATTGCAACTGTGTTCCGAAATGACGAAAATCGAACAAAAGCAAAATAAATAAATAAACTCCTGAAAATGTCTAAAAATGTCTAATATCAAAAATATCCGTTACAGTGTGAAAACCATTTCGTCTTATCAAGAATATTTTGAACTCTATTTGATGATTCGATTAAAAATTTCGCAATAGGGAGAAATTTGCTGTTGGGAGACACTCCGCTGTAGGCGGACTCTACTGTATTCTTAACTCATTGTATAATTTCATATTTTTCTTTAAAAATCAATTCTTTGAAACTTTAAACAGATTTAGCCAACATCAAATTTCGGTTGCAAATTTTAATCAAGCAACAGAATAGTTGCTGAAGAACTGCTGCCTCAGGAAGAGTATTCTTTCAGAAGAGGTATACCTCCTCTTTGATGCTTAAACAATAGTGGTAGCTAAAAATTAGTGAAAGTTTAAAAGCACATTGTGTAACAATTTTAGTGGTTTGTAACATTTTTGGATTAAGTGTTGTCAGACTGACAACACTGCCCTGAAAAAGGTTAATAGGTTAAAAGGGTTGAAAGAGTTTAAGGGTTATTATGAGAGGTGGAATATTATAAGATCTAGTAATTACAGAAATCTTAAGGATGGCAATTCGTAAAAAATATTTTCTTAAAGTTAAAGCGGATAAATTGAAAAAAAAAGCAATAATAGACATTAAGTTAAAAATTTTATGTATCCAACATCGTAAAAATACTTACCAGCATGAAATGTATGTTTACAGTTAATGCATTCATAAAAGCTATTTCATTTGTTTCAGCCCCTACAAAACAGAATATTACATGAAATTTTCTAAAATTGATTTTTAAAACGAAGGATTATAGAAGAACTTATGTGAAAAACTACGAAAATAAAATTTTAGGGAAAGGGCCTTCAAATCCAGGAATTTTATCCTTGCCATGTTTTAAATGGTCAATTTTGATGAATGTTTGAAGCATTTGATGCTTGTTTTAAATGGATTTTCAGAAACATATTTTGTTTTGTCCGTCTTATGAATTTATAAAAAATTAAACTTTATAAAACTTTATTTTTAAAATAAAGGTGTAAGAATTATATGTGTGGTAAGATTGACCTCAAAAAACAATTGACGAATGAACTTAAAAATAAAGCGTGTTAAAATAGGCACTATCAGAAGAGAAACAATATATATATATTTTTTTAATAATACAATACTTTTAGATAAACAATGCTAAGTCCATTTTAATAACTGCTGAATAAGAACATCCGACACTCCTTATGAATAATTCTACTCAGTTAATTATTTTAACAGATAAAACATAACTATTACTTAAAATTAGCCACGTTATTTAACAAACTATATTAGAATTTTTTTTCTTAATAAACCAAATATTTTTATTAATACTTTTTAAAACACAAACGTTTGACTGATATCTTAATACGTATTTCAGTGTTATGCAATAAATAGCCTCAAGTATCAACGACCAAGTTTCAGACTTAGAAAAAACTGGACAGCAAGTTCAAGGTAACCCTCCAGTCACTTAGCTTTTTATTCCTGTTTGCAAAAGATGAAAAAAAAAATTTTTTTTTATTACACGCGTGAAAGTTATTCATTAATTTCATTGTAAAATTATATGACTTTTTTTATCCTTCAAATTTCTATATTCCAGTTACATATTATATAAATACGTTATAAAGGAATGCCTAACTAAGGGAAAGAATAAGAAGAAACTTGTTTCGGTAATTGTGGAAAATGATACTCAGGTCACCGTGGTGTTAGTTATAATGATTTTAAAAACAATAATTGACATGGATTTTTTTTATGAAATGCTTATATTTTGAGTTTGTCGTTAAGTGCTTTCATGTTTTATTGATTCTAAATGTATTGTGTACGTTAAATTGTCGTTATGGTTTCGGTATTTATTCTTATTCTTTAGTATTTATAAACTCACAAGATGGATTTTATTATTTAGTACCGTCTAAAAAGTTATTTTCTGTGTTTTTGTGAAGTTACATGTATTTAAAATTAATTAATTTTCTTCGTTTCGTTTTATTTTGAAAAGCTTTAGTTTTAATCTTTATTTTCTTCCCTGATCGAAAATTTCATATAATAAAGTATCTCGTTTTTTTGTTTATTTTCTTTTCTTAAAATGTAAGAAAAATATTTTAAGAAAATCACATAATTTTATTACATACATGAAAATAATGATTACTTTCGTAATATGTAGTAAAATAGTATGATTTTTTCAATCCTTCTATTTCCTATATTTAAATTACGTGTTATATAAATGCTTGTCAAATGAATGCGTAATTAAGGAAAAGTACAAGAGGAAGAAACTCGTTTCGAGTACTGCCTGTTTGATCATGAAAATACTTGCATTTATAATCAACTAATTTTCTATTTTTCATGTTAAAAAAAATGTTTTAAAGTTTATTTTTCTTACTGATGAAAAATGTCACAAATATTTTTTTCTTCCTTTTTGCTTTCTTTTATTCGTTAAAATGCAAGAAACATCTTTAAAAAATCATATAGTTTTATTACATTCATAAAAGTAACGATTAATTTTGCACTATGAAGTAAAATAGTATAGTTTTCTATTCTTCTAATTTCTATATTCTAATTGTATGTTGTATTAATACATGATAAGGAATAGTAGGTAGGAAAAAGAGTAAAAAGAAACAATAAATTGTGTCTAGCTATTCCTTGTGTTAATGTGAAAATGTTTGTAATGAACAATTTTTTTTCTTTCTTTCATGCTTAAAAAGCTCAATATTTATTTTTTCTTTGACCAAATTTTATTTGATCAAAAATTTCAACTTTTTCTTCTCCCATTTTCAAAAAGTGGTCCACAAAACTTTTCATGTAAACTAATATTTTATGTCATTCCTTCTGCAAAACTTTGAAAAAGAAAAAATTAATTAGGCGAAGTTTATCCCTGAATTATTGAGATATAAAATAAGTTATATATTATTTAATCAAATTTGAATATCTCAGCCAGTTGTAATTTCAATTTATTGTTGAAAATAATACGCTACTAAAGCGTTTACTTCCTCATTTTTATTTTTTCCAACATTTTTCAGTTTTTTCTACATCTAATGTTTTTATTGCTTGAAATAAGTTGTACCATTAAAATTTCTAATTTAGTAAATTGTAAGGAATTCAATGGTCTGATTTAAATATATTAGAACTTGTACTCTTAACATAATTTTAAAATAAAATCAATTTTAACTAAAGCTTCTACTGGAGGGATTTTTCTCATCAGAATTCTCTCTTTTGAGGATTTTTCTCTTTCTTTTTTTTGTATATATTTTCCAATAACTTCTACTAATGCTTTTGTAACTCCCAAAATCTGTTTCACATGTTGTGTGATGACAGAGACGGTGAAGAACGAATTTTTTCAAAACACGCGCTTAAGATAACAACTGTCAAAACTATGAAACTTGTAGGTTATTATCTTTCGACCACTTCAGATAGCAACAAAATCAACTCTTCTTGCATAAAAGTTTGATTAGATTAGCCTCAGCCCATCGTCTTTAGATAAGAAATTGTAATTATGACATCATATTTTTTGTATATTTAAAGTTATTTTTCTTTTAAAAAAGCGATAAAAATGTACATCTACATGAACTGCGTTCAACATTTTCAATTTCATCAACAATGAAGCATCATGTTTACATCAGAGTTATTATCATATTAAACTAAAAAGTAAAGTAAATATGTTTGATAAATCAAACATTTATTGAGTGATGATGAATGATAGTTCGATATAAGATGCTTATATCGTATTTTCCATTAATTGTATAAGATCGTAACAAACAATATTATTGTTTGTGTATACTTCACGAATGTTCTGAAATAAACAGCAGATGTTAATGCAATTACTAGGATACCAACTATTTTTCGAAAGATTTTATAAAATATTAAAAAGTTAATATTTTTAGAAATGTGGTAAATTTGGCCGTGATTTCAAATGGCTCGCGATGGGACAATTAAATGGCGTTTTATATGATTTTTTGACTTATTCACATGCAGTAGTAGGCATAATAATTTTAGATTAAATTTTAATAATAATAGCGTGAGGGAAAAAAAACTCACCAACTAAGTTTGCCATTTGTTCTTTTAATGGTTGGTCACTCAGGGCTGCCGGAAACTCTCCCGTGAAATGGCTATCAACTCCCCTAAAGATTTTAAATAAATTAAATTGTAAACTGAAAGAAAACGCAAATAATTAAATTCGAAAAGGGTAAAACTTCTTTGAAAAAAAAACGCGCTAAGAAGCAGCAGAAATTTCAGAAAAAAGTATCAATACAAGAAACGAATGAAATAAAAATAAAAATATGACCACCGAAGCCGACGAATTAATAGATTGCAATCTATTAATTTGTCTACGTATTTCTTTCTCATGACCTTTTCCATTTCATTTTAAACTTCTTCTGCACATTATAATAGGGGGCGTTGGTTTTTTAATTTTTAGTGTTTTCTTTTCCTCTACTTGCTTTTGAAGTTGATGCTTGACCTGTGACTTAGTGAGTTTCTCTGATGATTTTGATTGATTTTCTTTTCTTAATTTGTTAATTATTTTGAATGTATCTTGTTTTTCCTGGACCTCTATACGAAACCATCGGGGTACTGAGGGAGATTTTTTAAGTATTTGCTTCTCCCTCAAATAGAAATGGTTTTGTTTTTAATGGCTACCGAGGCCGGTACCCCCTGAAGACGTCGGCTTCGGTGGTCATATTTTTATTTTTATTTCATTCGTTTCTTGTATTAAATTGCAAACATACGTTTTGCACGCATATTTTGTTCACGTTACAATGATTTTAAGAAGGGATTTGTTATCTATAACGCTTTTAAAATTCCTTTAAAAAATCAAAAGACAAGAAATGAAAAATAGTAATATCTTACCTTATAGCCCAGTTGTTTAGTGCGTCCTGGACTTTCGATTCAGTTGATTTCAGTTGCAGTCCCAAAGATTGCCCACATAAATAAATGCATTCTTCCTCACCATCTGATATATTTCTGAGGCACACTTTTAAAATAGGAAAGAAGGAGGTATTTAATTAATACTAAGTCTAAAACAATTCACAAAGCACGTATCTAACACAATTTTTTTAATGTTTGCATAATTCTTTATAATTGAGAACTAGCTAACATTAATAGTTTGGAAATAGTTCTACAATTTCAGAACGTCTGATCAACTATCTAAAACTGAAACTACTCTCTATAACAAAGAAAATCGACGCACCAAGAAGGAGTTGCCCGATTGAAATGAAAATTGGTGGATAGGAAGACAATGTACAGAATAGTAAATGATTAAAATTTCAGAACAATTGAATAATTTATTGCAGAGTTACAGTAACAAGTTCAATAAGGTGTTGACCCGCCTCTAGCCTGGATACCAGCTGCCACACAGCGTGGCACAGACCGATAAAGCTCCCGGATGGTCTCTTGCGGTATTTCCTGCCAAATTCGATCCAATTGTCGAACGAGGAAATCAACATTCCGTGCCAGATGCAATCGCCTTCCCATCATATCCCAGACATGCTCGATGGGAGAGAGATCTGGTGATCTGGCAGGCCAAGGAAGAGTTTGACAAGCTTGCAGACAGTTCATAGCAACACGTGCCGCATGTGGTCTGTTATTGTCCTGCCGAAAGACCAGCCCAAGGCGCTGCAAAAGGAACGGTAGCAAAACAGGTCTTAGGATGTCGTCGACGTACCGNCAAGGAAGAGTTTGACAAGCTTGCAGACAGTTCATAGCAACACGTGCCGTATGTGGTCTGTTATTGTCCTGCTGAAAGACCAGCCCAGGGCTCTGCAAAAGGAACGGTAGCAAAACAGGTCTTAGGATGTCGTCGACTTACCGCTGTGCAGTAAGTGTACCTCTAATGACGACCAAAGGGGTCCGGCTGTCAAAAGAAATGGCACCCCAGATCATAAGGCCTTGTTGAGGGCCGGTGCGCCGTGCAATACTGAAGGCAGGATCCCCCCTCTGCCCTGTGCGTCTCCAAACACGCCTTCAATGATCGTCAGGACACAGTTGGAAGCGGGATTCATCGCTAAAGACTATACTTTCCCAATCGGCATCATTCCAGCCTGAGCGAGCGTCGATTTTGCGCGCCTTAGTGCGTTCTTGGTGCGTCGATTTTTTTTCTTATAGAGTGTATTTGCTTGTTTATCAGTTAACCACTACCAGTCTACTAGTTTATTAGCCAACTACTGCTGTGACAATTCACTAGTTAACCACTGTTGCGCCAGTTTACAAAAAAATAATAATGAAGTTTTGAAATGCTATAGGTTATTTTTAAGAGGCCCAACTTTTCGAATTTTCTTCTACGGCAAGCATGGAGTTGAGCCGTTGTCGCCGAACACTATTCACGGGGTCGAGCCACAGTTTTCCAGATTGCAGTTACCCCATAGTTTTTGAAACAACTCTTTTACGCAGGATCTTTTTCCATATAAATTTTTTTTAATGAACTAATGAATGAATACTTTACGGTATTTAGGTGAAATTTATAGCACGGGGAAAAATCTGGTTTTGAGGGGAATAATTCAAATTCTAGGCGGTCAAGCAACGGGAAAAAATTGGTAAATTTATTCCTAAACAGTGGATTATTTGGCTAAATTTCCCCATTTACCCTCGAGCCTATAAGTCCGATTATTGTAATATTTTAAATTAATTGTTGTAGTTGATCTACAAGTAAAAATAACACACTTTCTTATAATAATCAATTTTTTGCTCTCGGCCATGTTTTTTCTTCCTTATACTATAAGTCAGTGTTTCCCAAACTTATGACTTTTGTGTACCCTTTCTAAATTTTTTGTAGCGCTGTGTACGACTCATAAAAAATGAATGTATTTTTTACTATGAAAAAATTGCCCAAAAGTTAACTATCACAATTGGCTGTTGACACCCCTCATTATTAACTGTTAACTGCAAAAAATGGCCAATAGAAAAATACGTAACCTTAAATTTTCATGGCTAGAATTGTTTTTAAATAAAAAAATTTGAAAATTTCGTTTGTTGCAAGATATTTTGCATAAAAACGCGTACCCCCGCTAAACTGTTCCCGTAACCCTGGGGATACGCGTACCACACTTTGGGAAACACTGCTATAAGTTATTCAGGCTGAAATTTCTTTTTCTCGTGCATAGTACTGTCGAATCTTAAAGTAATTTAGTACGATAATTTTAGATAATTCGTTGTCATTACGGCCTGATAAAAACAACCTTGAACTTAAAAATTCAAGAGCAAAAATATTTAAAGATTGAAGAAATATTGCGTTGGAAAAATAAAGTAACTATATCATTTGTAAATCGATAAACGTGAGTACTGATAGTTAAGTTGTAAATATAGTGTTGAAAATGTAGATATGTTTTTGAGTCTTGACATTTGAATAGTTTCGTAATTTATGAAGATTTAAAATAATTATTTATTATTAAAAAATGACATACGTAAGTGTACATTTTGAAAGTAATCTATTTTTTTCTTGTAAATTTTTATAACACCAATAACGTATTGCAAAGCAGTTGATTTTTTAACTCCTAAGGAGTGTCAACTGTTTCGAATTATTAATTATTTGTTATTTTTTAATTATTTGTATTAATTTTATAATTTTACATGTCTTTTTATTTTAGTAGGTTTTCTATTTTTAATTTTTTTTTTGTTGACCTTATGATTTACTTCTTTCAGTGATTTTTGTGCATCAAGATCGTGAGATTTACATCTTTTTGGAAAACTTCGAATGCGCTTCATTAATAATAATATCTATTATTATCATAATAAGAATTAAAATAATTATAATATTAATAATTATTATTATTTTAGTTAATATTTCTCAGAATCCATTTTTTAGCACCAAATTTCGAAAAATGTTCCTGACGAAAGATGTTAAAACTAGACAACTCTGATAATATAAAACAGACATTAATTTAAAACATTAAATTTTTTAAAAGCAGGTGTTCTACAGTTATCTTGTTTTGGTTCGGCGTATGAAACCCAGGAAAAAATGTGTTAACATGATAAAGGAATCTGTTTATGAACAATAAACGAGTCAGCCTGAGTTGCTACTTTTATTGTACACGTTTTTCATCTTTATATGACAAATTACTGTTTACTTATCATTAATAATCATGCTACGGCAAGCATTTTTTCAAACCACAAAATAGCATTACATTATATAAAGTTAGAATGAGATAAATTTAGCTATAGAATTCAAAGCTATGTAAGAATTGTTTTTAAATAATTTACAATTATTTAAAATAGTTTACTTACTTTAAGAAACTTACTTATTTTAATTAACTACTTTAAGTAACTAATAATTGGTAATTATAATAAATATACTTTTAAAATTTTCTGATATACTAAGGCAGTTTCCCAAATAGTATTTCGCAGAATCCCTCCATGAAATTAGCATTTTTAACCAGTATTGATTTTTTTTAAAACCTGTAATAGGTTTGTATCTAACCAATGATCCATTATTTATTTAATATTAAGGTTATTTTTGTGAAATTATTTACATAAATTTGCAATAAAATTGAAAGAAAAAATTTTAATTATAATTTTTTTTTCAATAACAATACATTGAATAAATTACTGAATTGAATTAATAAGTATAATTTATAAAAAAGGAAATGTAACTGTTTACTGTTTAAAAGTTGATAAAACGATGACTAAATATCTTAATAAAAATGTAGCATTATAGGGTTATGCATAATATAATAAATGAAGAGCACTTTCAAGCTTTTGAATTTAAATAATTGACAGAATCAAAATTGTAAGGAAACTAAAAAATAATATGATAAAAATATAATAAATATTACCGGTAACTATATTTAATTAAGGGATAAAATATATAATCAACTGGTAAATGCAATCATAGCTTTCAATAAATCTAGGCTGTTGGCTGTCAAAAATATCTGAATCTTCTTTATAAAGAAAACCCCACTTTATTTAGGTAAGTAATTCATTTATATTCAAGGCAGGTTTTCGAAAATTCTGAAATAAACTGCGATAAATATTAAAAAACAAAGAAAAGGAAGGAAATTCGATAACTTAGGTAATCTTTATCAGGCCTTGCAACATTTTGCTATTTGTCTCAGGGTCAGAAAAAAAAACGGGAGGTCATTCAATTAGTTATAGAAAAGTCTGAACTTTTATGTTCGGAAATTAATTTATAGTTTTAATTCTTTCTAGAATTGAAATTCAATCGGAGCAAAATCAATCTGATAATGATATTTAGTGTCCTAGATGAGTAGTGATCGTAGATATCGTGATCATGAATATGGTGACCTAGATATCAGATAGCTTTTAGAAGTATAAGTGTTTTTTGATTGTTGTGACTCGGCATCAATTCAATATGGGCCTAACAGATATTATTTTACATAGTTTAATAAGTTTAATAATTATCATAAATTATTAAGGATAGTTAAATTTCAATTATTATTAACATTTTCTTATTAGCTTAAGTTTTAATTTTAAAGCGAGATTGTAATTGCATTTTTAAAACCGTGACATTTTTACCGCATATTTTCTAAATAAGTTCGATAGGTTATTTATATCTGTATTATTAAAGCGTATTTTATTATATAATATTTTATTGCATTCATATCACACAAGTTCTGACGACAGGAATCTAATAAAAAGAGAGAAATATTGCAAGTGTCTTATTAATTCCGCAGCCGATGCGATAGCAATAATAATTTAAGGAAAGAAAAAAAAAAATGAAAAGAAAGACACTTTTTTGTTCAAGTCGTCTTTTTTAATCAAAACATTTAAAGCGTGTAAGAAAAGTTTTTCGGCTATCAAATTATTCTTCCAATAGATTTCAATTTATGAAAAAAGAATAACAACAATAAAAATTACAATGAAAAAATAGAAAGCTTTGAACAGATGTGAATCTATTTCAATGTGATTAACAAAACCTTCACTACACAAAATTGAAATTTCCATTAATTATATTAAACTTAAAACAAAAATACTTCATATAAAAAATTGTACATTTTCAGTTTCACTGAAAAAAATTCCGGATTAAATTATGGTAAAAAGTACCGGTACTCAGGGTGACGGTTTTACAGTAAAATCCATTTTTAACGGAACATGTTACAGAACAAAAATCAGATGTACCATAAATTTTACAGTAATAATTACCGTAAAATCACTGTAATTAAATAAATAATACTGTAAAAATTACGGATGTAATTTAAATATGATATACTATAATCTTTACAGTTATAACTACCGTGAAACCACTGAACTACTCTAATTAAATAAATATTACTGTATAAATTTACGGTGAAAAGTCACTTTATTAATTTTGTATTCCTTGGGAAACTATTTTAAATAATTCTCTAAAACATTGAATTTTGTTGTTTAAAATTACATGAATTAAGATGATGTAGTAATTAATTTATAAATAACTATTCAATAATTAATAATTAAAATAGTAATAATGAAATAATAACTTATTATTCAACTTATTTTTTGTGTATAATATATAATAACATAAAATAAACTGTGTTCAATTTGTTTAAGTCTAATGCCCATTCTCAGAATTCGCCAGATATGAATGAGTCTTGAGGAGTCTGGAGAATGGGAGCTTATTTTGAGCGCTGGAAACATGTCAACGTTTATTACTGCTCGCAATATTTTCAAGCAAATATAGTTTAAGCAAACAATAAAAAATATAACACTACTAAATATATCAAAATTCAAAGGATGAAACGGGCTATCCATCTAATGCTGTAATCGAATGAATGTATATCTAAAAGGATTTTTATGACTAGGCCATCTGAAAATCGACCAAGGGGAAGATCCGAACTCAGATTGTCCGATTCTGTAGCCAAGGACTTCTTCGTACTGAACTGTAAAATTGGATGAAAAATCGTTGCCGAGAATAGGTTAGCATGAAACAGATTCCTCGAGAAGACCAGAACCCACCCCAAGCTATCGATTCAATGATGTTTATGAAAGTCTTTAAATCTCAAGTATTTCTTCGTGATTCAGTTTCTTGGTTATTATTCATTTAATATATTGGAATCATATTTTTTGACCTCGATAAACTTCTTTTTAATCATTAAGTTTGAATTTTAAAGCAAAAAAAAAAAAATCATTAAATCATAGGTTGTTTGGCTCACTGTATGTTTGAAAGGCAAACCAAGTGGCCGCCGAAGACAACTAGTTCTGAATAGATTTGAGTGAGTTGAGATTTCAGAAGGAAAAGCTAAAAAACATACCTCCGCTAATATCCTTCTTTTTCGGATAGTTGAAAAGTTTTCTGTACTCTCCCAGAGGATCTTCTTTGTCCATCCTCTTTGCGAATTCCAAAGAATCCATTGAAGATGACCATTTTTGAGACTTTTTTATAAATTCATTGTACATCAAACTGCTTTCTAAATTGATCATTTTATCTAAAAAGTAAGAAACAATTTATCACTTAAACTATTAATAACAATCTACGACTCCGTAATTGGTAGAATTTTTTAAGAAGAAACTTAAAACCAATCGGACCTTTTTATGTATGTTTTCGAGAATAGTTATGTATTTTGTCATCATAATGACAATTTATCTTATTTCCGAACGCTTTAGTCGCATAAAGGTTTTTCCTGTTTATTTTAGGTAAAATGTCGTAAGCTAAATTACGTGTCTTCATTTCGTGTCTTTAATTTATATTAAATTACGTGTCTTTACTTAGAGGCACAAAGCGATATTCATCGTCTTAAATAAGATATTCGTTTCTGCAGTTTCCATGAATTATTATAGTAATGACGATATCCGTGTTAATACGTGTGATCCAGCTTTCAAAATAGTGAGATTACATGCATTTTTGCTACAACATTGATGACAATGCTTAAAAAAGATAATTAGTGTGAATATTTATGAATTAAATAATTTTCATATTAATTCACGTTTTATTTTTATCAAATACCATGTCTCCATGTCAGATAAGGTTTTGAAATTTTTTTTTATTATGCAACAAATTTTTAAATATAATCAAGAGCATTGAAAACTAGAATCTAAAAGTATATTTTTTTTTCACAATACTCTTTTTTTCAATACATACTGAGAAAAAAAAGTATGGTCAAAATTACCAGAATATGTTAAAAGTTACCGTGTTTTTAGCTCTATGGGAATACTAAAATCTCAGTAATTTTTACTAAGAGCTTTGATAATTACATTTTGGTAAAATTAACTGTAAAATATGGTTTTATAATGCTTGATAAAATTTGGTAAATGCGGTAAAATATGATAAATTTTTCATGATACCTTAGAGCATGGCTCAAAAACCATTTGTTCTGCAAATTTACTTTTCAGTTTTGTATTTTTTGCTAAATGTATGGAAATGGGAACTATAATTTTCTAACTAGAAAAACCGTTGCAAAATAAAAGTTGAAATATCGTATATTTGGTTTTATTAATCAGAAGTGTAAATTTTTTTATTCCAAATATCGTTACCATATGATACGGTAGTTCTACCAGAATTTTTTTTCCGTGTACCAAAAAACTTTTTCAAAGCTTTCTAGAACATAAACAAAAACTTAACTTTGCTTTAAGGTCGTAATTTTATTTTGTAACAGTAAATTATAATTTTGCTTGAGAGCAATTAAAATTGTAAATTTTTTTTAAAGGCAATTATTAATTATTGAATTTGAAGAAAATAATCAAGAATGTTTCGTAACAAAAAAAAACCCCTCTAAAGCTTCTAAGTGTGAATTAAAAATTTCATTTTATTAAAATATACAAAACTAAGGTACATATTTAAAAAAAATTATTCAAATCTGACACCCTTTAGCCCAGCACCTGACACCCTTTNACGTCAGTGTTGTTTGCTAGCTTATAGCTCTCATGAGTTAATTGCATGTTCTATAAGATTTGATTATCATTTCTTCATTATGTCAGATAAAACTTAGTGATCTACAACAACGTGGCAGCATATAGATAGACTAAGCTATTAAATTAGTATTTCTAAAACTATCCACGTGTTTTTTTGTTTTGTTATGCTTTTAAAATTTATCTTTATAAAACTAAATAATTTAAAATCGACCATAATTGAAATAAAAACTATGCACTGAAAATCAAAAATTAATGGAGAAATAGTAAAAACTTCTTTGTTTTAGAGAAACGTAAAAAATAGCCATATAATTATTGATGCAAATGATGCTTAATTAATTTTGGAAACAAAAAATACTTAAAATAAAAAATAAGCTATTATACTAAAAACAAAATTAACGGAGAAATGGCACTAATTCAGTTTAGAGAAGCATAAAAAATCTCGAAATTTTTATTGAAGCAAATGATCTTTAATTAATTTTTGTATTAGATGTTAATTGGAACAAAAAAATAAGCTATGTACCAAAGAAATGGTACTAATTTGTTTGTGAGGAAAGTAAAAAAAATCGCTATACTATTTTTGATACCAATGATGCTTAATTAATTTTGGTATTAGGCACAAATTGAAATTAAAAAAAAAGCTACTGTAATTCATGATCTGTCTATCAAGGAGAATATTTTATGTCAGCCAGTGGCCAGTGCGAGCCAGGAGCAGATTTCGTAACAACCAGAAACTGCTGGAATTCGATTCTACGGATGGTGCAGTTTTAATAGGCACCAAATATACAACAATAAGTACAAAATATATCATGCATAAATTTGGTGCCTATTAAAACTGTATAAATACTATGTTATTTTTAATATAGTTACTGCGGATATTAGTTTATTACTAGGTTATTATTAGATATAAGTACTTTAAACTAGACTAGTTTATTATTAGATATAAGTAAAGGAAAAAATTGCTTGATTGTTGTAAATATAAAATATGAATTCGTTTCACGCAGCAGATGATATTGAATAGCACTATTCTTTACTTTTAGGGATGAACTACTGAAAACGTGATTTGTTAATCTAATAGTATAAAGTCACCGTGAAGGTCAACGAATAATAAAATATTGGAATTATAATTAAATACTGTTATTTGTTTTTGAGTTTTGTGCATGATTTTGTAGCTTTCAGTACTGAGTTAGATTTATCCTTTCTATTTTCTACCCTTGCGAAGAGCGGATGTTCTGCTAATATGATATAATATCGTTCTATATTATAAACAAGTAAAATTAGTTTTCATTTGTTACTTCTTACTGTGTCGTACATTCCTCATTCCCGAGTTCAAATTTATTTATTTTTTTCAAGTACAGCTTATTATTTTTCAAATCCATGTATCCTTTTATTTCGTTACGACTAGCATATTAATAAAATGTGCTTGCTTAAAATTATAATAATTATCTATATAAATCTATTGCTTATCAAAAATTTCACATATATTTTTTTATTTTAACATATAGGAATTAAATTTTAAACTTCGCAGTGAATGAATTTACATTTCCGCTTGGTATACTTTTTAAAAATATTTAATCTTTTATGTTATTAAAGATACATATTTTAGTTGATGCATAATTAAAATTTAACGATATAATTTTTCAATCTCCCCCAGAAGTGTAAATAATGAATCTTTTGACCTTTACTCGTTGATTTTATGTATTGAATTGTTAAAATAACTTTCAATAGTGCTGAGCATTAATTTAACAGACATCGTGATAACTGCATTTTAAAAATAACTATCACGATATATAGTAAATATTGTGTTACAAAAAATATCTATTATACTATAATTATCCACAACTGTAATAACTTCATCATTGTAAGCAGCATTGTAGAAAAAGATATCATCGCCACTCTTATCTTTAATACGTTGAATGCCATGGGGGTCACCGGTGACCGGCACCGAGTTTGTTCGTAGCGCCACGGGGATCACCGATGACCGGCGAAGCCAAGATTATCAGAAACACATAATTCGAGTAATTTCATTAATTTTTTTATATTATTATAAACTGCTGTTTGTAGAAAATGCAACACCATGAAGGAATCATCAGAATCAAATGAAATTCGCAGCAAATGTCAATTATAGGATATTATGCAAATTAATAAAGTTTCAGAGCCATCNTATTAATTGTGATTCTTGGTTTAATAAATTCAATTTAGTAGATTTTTATCCTCCACTACTTCTAAACAATTCGTAGGCTTATATAATTCACCACTTTTTTCATATATGTTATGTTAAACCTTATAAAAAACTAGCAAAATCTGTCTAATATTTGCAAATGTAAAATTGCATGTAAAATTAGCGCGGCATTCAACGTGTTTAAGACAATATTGCGATTAGTGTTGACTATGGTAAATATAAGATACGATTTATCAAGAGTATTAATTATCGACAATTATCGGATATAACATTACTGCGATCATTATTAACAGCAATAAACAATGAATACGCTAAGTTTCACTTGGGAAACGAAAATGGTGATTTCTGTAAAAATAATGTAAAATTGTTAAATTAAGAAAATATCGCAATGAATCGTGAAACATACATAATTTTTGACGATATACACTGTAAACAATTACAGTCAAAAGTGCCAGTACTCAGAATGCCGATACTTTTCACCTTAAAATGCAATTAACAGTATTGAAACAATTTAAAACAGAAATACAGTTTTTTTTTAATTTACTACTAGGAAATTTTTTAAAGTCCACTTAAAATAAAAGCCTACGTAATTTTTTTTCAAAATTAAAAAAAACGGAAAATAAAAAATAAATTTTAATTTACTTCCACTTTTATTAATCAGGTAGAATTTTTTATTGAATTTAAATTTTGATTACTAATTTTAACAGTTTAAAAACTGAAACTTACACTGTAAAAAATTCCGCATCAAATTACGATAAATAAAGTACCGGCACTCCGGGTGCCGGTACTTTTTACCGTAAAATCCATTTTGGGACGAAAAATCTGATATACCATAATTTTTATCACAGTAATTGCAGCAAATTCATTGAATCACTCTAATTAAATAAATATTACTGTATAAATTACGGTATAATGTTATACGGTAAAATGGATTTTACGGATCATTTGTACTAAGTGGCAGTACTTCACACTGTAATTTGATCTGGAATGTTTTACATTGTCTCTCTTAATTAAAATTCAGATATAGCTCAGCAATGCTTTTAACTCATACTGTAAAAATATGAAAAACAAATTTTAAGTCCTACTTATTTTTCCAGGTCTTTAAATAAATACTGTAGAGTGCTTAAACACTTCGAGCTTTGATAATACCAACTTCAATTCTAATAAAAACCAAAACGTAGTTAATCAAGGATTTAAATAACTGTTAGGCAACAAACCAAAAACTATCATTTGTTTGACATTCAGTTGGTATAGGAACTTGAAGCAAATGTTATGTAACTAAATGTAAAAAAATTCAAGGATTGTTCAAGGTCCTTTATTTATATAATAGATTCAAGTCTGTGGGTTACTTCTAGATTAATTTTTAAAGTAGATGAGCTAAAAATGGGAGTTCAACGT